CTTTCCCCGAATCCTCACCCCTTACAATCTGTCTTCGCAGCTCCTCCTATCAAGCCTCACAACTTACTTTAGCCAATAGAATGCAATGCAAGTGACATGTGCCTGCTCCTCCAGACACTTCATCTCATTGTTCTTTTTTTTTTAAAAATATATTTTTATTGATTTCAGAGATAGAAAGGGAGAGGGAAAGAGGGAGAGAAACATCAATGATGAGAGTCATTGATCAGCTGCTCCTGCATGTGCCCTGACCGGGAATCGAACCGCAGTCTCCTGGACCCTAGGTCGATGCTCAACCACTGAGCCACGCCCCGCCGGGCCATCTCATCGCTCTTGGAACCTTACTGCCCCCATGAAGACAACAACCCTAGCTTCTTTGGAGGATGAACAACCATGTAGAGCAAAGATGACCTGCCCACTGAGGCTGCCCTAAACTAGGTAGTCCCTAGCTGACCCAGAAGTTGACTGCAGATACATGAAACCATCCAAGACCAGAAAAACTGCTCAACTAAGCCTGGTTCAACTTGCCAAACTGCAAAATCTTGAGCTAAATAAATAGCTGCTTTTTAAAGTGGTTATGCAAAACCTGATACAACGGGTTCCAAGACAGTGTGCCAGGTGAATTTATGGGACAGGAAAAAATAGTATTTTGAGGAAGTAGTAATGGTATTGGTCCTCACTAGGCCCTAGGGGCAGGGGATTGTGAAGTATTAGCAGCAGCTTTGGTTCAAGAATATGTTGAAAGTACTTTTTAAAAAAAAAAATTTGACTATAACTCAATACCATAAAATTCACTCTTTTGAAGTATACCATCTAGTATATTTCACAAGGTTGTGCAACCGTCACCACTAATTCCAGAGCATTTTTATAACCCCATACTCATTAGCAATCACTCCCCACTCCCTTAAACTCTCTTCCCTCAACTAATCTACTTTTGTCTCAATGGATTTGCCTATTCTGAACATTTCATATAATTGGAATCATACAGTATGTGGCCTTCTGTGTTTGGCTTCTTTTAATTTGTATATAGTTTTAGCTCTTACATTTAGAGCTTTGATCCACTTTGAGTTTACTTTTGTGTATGATATGAGGTGGGGGTCCAGCTTTATTCTTTCACAAGTAGATACCCAGTTGATAGTGCTGAATATATTCAGTGCGGAGGTGAAATTCTTCCCTAAGCAATTCTAATATAAGAGGCAAAGGTAGCCACACAAGCTTGGAAATGCTTTCTGGTAAAATAATACGGAGTCTGTGTTACTAGGCAGAACTCACCCTCAGGGAGCACTGACGTTTCAGGAAAGCAGGACAAAAGGGCAAATGAAACTGAGTCTTTCAATGCAATGGATGGAAAGGACAGGCACTCAAATGATACCTAGTGACTGGGTTTCTATCATTTCAGTTTTCTAAACTTTGTAAGCAAGCAGCATTATTTCAAATGCACTCTGAGAAATGAGTAAATGTAGAGAGATGACCACAGAAATGGCTAATGAATAGTGCCAATGTAAACATTCTGCTGGGAGATTTCTCCCAGTTGATTTTGAGTCCACAGTCTATGGATTCGGGTTACAAATATCAACTGATTGCATGTGGTGATGCTGAGGCAAACATGTTTTCATCAGTGCTCCTTCCCACAGACATTAAATTTTGTTTGATGGCCTTTAATACTTCTTAGAATGGGTCCTCAGAATATACTTTCACCTGCAGTAACTATTCCAGAGGCTGGAGATCATCTTGTTTTCTTAATTTGGTGGTTGTGGAGCCAGGGTTAGAATAATCTTCTGTGTTCAGGGTCTTAGAAAAGGAATTGTGAAATTGCAATTTATAGCATCATGTATCTTTGGTTATCATTCCCACTTGGAATTTCCTAAGTAAAGAGAGAAATAAAGGTGTCTTTTATTATGTTAATGAGGTTTATTTTAAAAAGCACCTAAGGGTACAGGCTGGTTGCCAATGGAGCCAACTGTGGGATTAGAGGGTTAGAATTTTCAGTTCCTTCCCCTGAAACCTGGGGAGGGGAGAGGGGCTGGAGGTTGTTGGATTGGTTGCCAGTGGCCAATGATTTAATTAATCATGCTTATGTAACAAAGCCTCTAAAAAACCAAAAAGGATGGGGTTCGGAGAACCTCTCTGTTGGTAAACACAGAGATTTTGGGAGAGTGGTGTGCTCAGAGAGGGCACTGAAGCTCCCATACTTTTTCCCATACTTTGCCCTATGCATCTCTTCTATCTGGCTCTTCTGGAGATAAAACCTTTAATATCCTTTCTAATAAACTAGTAATCTAGTGAGCAAATAGGTTTCCTGAGTCCCATGAGTCACTCTAGCAAATTAATCAAACACACAAAGTGGGTCATAGGAACCTCTAATTTATAGCTGGTTGACCAGAAGTATAGGTAACAACCTGGACTCATTATTGGCATCTGAAGTGGAGGGAAGTCTTGTGGGACAGAGCTCGTAATCTGTGGAATTTGATTCTATCTCCTGGTAGATAGTGTCATATTGAGTTAAATTGTAGGACACCCAGCTTGTGTCCAGGAATTTCTTGGTGGCGTGGAAAAACTGCTGCACACATCAGAATTGGATTCAGAATCTGAGGGATGTGTACAGAGAATTGGCACTCAACCAATACCACTCTTGATGCACAGAAAGAACTAAACCCACCCCAGAGAGACACAGCCCAGGATGAAGCTGCTGAAGGAACAACTTTAGTGAGGCATCAAGAAGTCCTTTACCTGAAAGATGAAAGATACTAAATTCAGGAGGATGGATTTTGAACTTTAAGAATTTCAGACTTAAGAATTAACTCACTAGATCAAGAAAAACTGATTTTTAATGTTAATCCCTTTAGACTTTGACTTGCATTAACTTTTACTTGCAAGGGCAAAACTAATTTGATTTGTACTTTATTTGAAATGTAATGCTTTTGAATTTTAATATGATAATGAGAGAGTATTTATATTAAAAGTGGGTTGTCTCTATATTGTTGACTTTTTAACTAAAGTATCTATGCATTTTATTAGATATTTTCATGTTGTCACTTAATCTCATTACTGATTCTCTGATATATTATGTCAGACAGTGTGCCTGGACATACTTTAAGGTGAGAAATAAAATAGTAAATGAGCTTTCAGCCTTGGATATAGAAGGGCTTTGAAGTTAATGTAATTACTGCATCATTCAAACTCATTTTAGAGCATTCAAGTGGGGATGGTGGGGGGGTGGGAATCAATATTACTTCCCACTGATTTCAGGACAATACCCCAAACAGAATAATATTGTGGAAATGACCTCATGACTGGTTATTGTGATATATACCAATCTTTACCCCAGTGTGCTAGCAACCCACTCCTCTCCTGGGCCCCCAATTGACCATATACTTAATGATTAAGCCCAGTGTGTTAAGAAAAAGAAAATCCAAAGTTAGGGAATTTTATGGTAAAATACTTCTCTCTTATTCCAGATGTTTCTGTCCAGGTGAGAGGATCTTATATAGTATAATCTCTTCCCCCTTCCTCCCCTTTGGTTCATTCCACAGGGGAGGACCCAGTCTTCTCACTGTATGATGCTTAGTTTCACACAGGGAATATCCAAAAAGTAAGCATTCTAAGAACCTCAGGCAGAAGCTGCAAGGTTTATGATAAGGTGGTCCCAGAATGTCATACCTGTTATATTATATGCTTTAAACAAGTCACTAAAGCCAGCCTACGTTTCAGGGAAGGAGAATTCAATTGTACTTTTTGATGTGAGCAGCCGCATGCTTATCCAGACAAGGTAGAAATTGATGGTGGCCTTCTCTGGAGATTATTTACCACATATGTTATACCATTTTCCATACTTGAACTGGCTATTCATAATGAAAATATATTTCTTAGAAACAGCATAAAATTGGGTCTTATTATTTGTAACCAATCTAATAATTTCCTTTTAATAAGTATGTTTAGTTCATTTACATTTAATATAGTTACTGGCATGTTACATTTAAGTCTCCCAAGTTAATGTTTGTTTTATATTTAATCTATTTGTTCTTTGGCTGTACTCTTGAGTGAACTGCATTTGTTTTAGTATTCCATTTTCTTTTATGTGTTATCTTTATGCTTTTTTGTGTTAAATTTGTTTTCAATAATTGCCTTAGGGTGTACAAAATGAATTTTTAAATTATCATTTTCTTTAATGAATAGCACCAGTACCTTCAAATAAAATAATTCCCTCTATCCCTTTCCACACTTTGCGTTCTTGTTATTTTATATTTTACTACTACCTATGCTATAAATACCATAATCAATGTTAGTAGTTTTATTTTATTCAAAAGAATTTTAAAGAAATCATATACTTATGTGTTTATATGTACATATAATACATATTATATAATTTAAAGAAGTCATATGTGTACAATCATATTGTATTATATGAAACAAATGTATATGAGTGTATCACATATATTTATGATAGATGGATAGATAGACAGCCAGATGGATAGAGATAGATACTATCTCTAGGGGTATCTCTCTCAGATCTCCTCTCTCCTCTCTTTAGGTCTACTACTCCACACACTCAGTGAAGACCATGGAAAAGGCATGGTGAGTGGTTGGAGACTTGCTCTGTCATGCTTCCCACATGAGGCTATGAAAATGTCATTAGAATTTTGGCTGCTAGGTGTGTGGTGGATCCCTCCTTTTGCTGGTTCTGCTGGGTATGAGAGCAATGCTGAGTCTTTTTTCTCCTATAAAGGTTTCATCATTTTGGGTATTTGGCTCCCATTTGGATTTCTTGAAGTCCTCTTCTGATGGGATTTTAAAAACTATGGTTCTGTAGCTTTCATCAGCCTTTTTGTTGGTTTAAGTGAGAGCCCTGTCTTTTGTGCCTTTCTGCATATGATTTAGTGCAGGATTTTCCAAATTCTTCAGAATTAAGAGACTTCACATTTAGGGTTCCCTAATCTTCAAAGGCTTCTACTCTTGAATTTGTCTTACTAATTCATTATATCCTTCAAGTTTGAGCTTAAATATTATTTCCTTGTGAGAGACTTCCTCTAATAATCTTTACATTTTTCTTCTAATTGTAAATCACTTTCTTTGTGAGATACTCAGTAGTTGTCATAGTGATGGAACTATTACTCTGTGATTAATGTGGCTATTGTAACCCACAGAAAATAGGGACAGACAGGGAGAGAGAGGATTTCAGGACAGTAGTTATCTGTGATTTTTTTTGCCTTGCATTTCTTTTCTCGTCTTTTGCTATCAGTGGTCCCGTTCCTTTGGAGAAATCCTGCTCTAACATGCTATGTAGACCTGAGGGGCTGTTATTTCCCAGTGCCTCTCAGTCGTACCTCTCTCCTATTCTAGGTGGGCAGGTGACCTAGGATGACCCAACCATAGAACCCTACTCCTAGTGCCAATATCACTATTACTCAATACTTCTTGACTGCAAGGGACAGTCAAGAAGACTGTCCCACCTTAAAGAAGCTTAATCAATACAGGCAATTCATTTGTTTATGTAACTGAAAAGTTACAAGGAGTTTTTTCAAAAACTTGAATCAAGCATTTTTTGCAACATGTGGGTTTCATTTAATAATGAAAATGATGAACGTCAACTTTCTATTCTTATGCTGTTGCGTTATCTAATAGGTTCCTTGTAGGCATGATAGGTCAATGGCTTCATTACTCATTTAACAACTGGCCATTATCCTATAGTTAAATTGTTGTACACCTTCATTTTGGGGATAATACCTTATATGCTAAATGGAAAAACACCAGAACCACTTCAGTTCATTAACAAAAGTCAGATTATTATGGAGAAAGCCTGTCTGTGGCAGTAATAATTTCTTTCATTCATTTCACATGGTCTAGTTTTAGGGCTACAGCATCAACATAATGCAGGTTGTGTAGAATCTGTTTTACCTGCTTTTCTCTTTTCCTTGCTTCTCCCCTTGAGCTCCCCTCTGTTTTCTCTCCCTGTTCCTTTACCTCCTTTGCTTTCTTTGTATCCACATCTTTCCTCATCTCACCCCTCTTTACTCCCCACACCCCATTTCAGTTTTATTACAATGTATATAAGAGACAATAAAATAAAATAAAATAAAATGACAATTTCCTTGGACTGGATAGGCCAATGAAGAATCTCTGAAACATTACTGCCTCTTCCGAGGGTGGGCCAGTTTCTAATGAAGTCATTTAGTGTAAGAGAATTCCCTGAGATGAGGATCTGGCCAAGCTTGATAGGCTCTGGGGCAGGGTTACTGCCTCTCCAGGGCTCTCCAGTTGCTGGGTTATGATGATAAAACCAGCTCTGAGTACAGGAGATTTTCATTTGATGAGTGGTCTGAACATCTACTTAGTGGTTATAAAATATTTGCTGCTGAAAGCCACAGAGCATTGATAAACAGATCCTGGACAGCTGAGTTATGGCAATCTACTTAACATGAGGAGAACAAATTATGAGTCAAATGTTCCTGTTTCATAACCTTACCCGGGGCAGAGGGCTGCTCAACGCTGGTGTTAACCCTGCCTGTGCCGCACTTGGCCAGGATCCCGGAAAGGGCCTCGCAGGCACTGAAGCCACTCAGGTGGCTTTGCCATTAGGACGAAGGTACACAGAGAGGAAATTTTAAAAGGCCCATCTGGTGAAGGAAATAAACAATTTGTAAAACTGCTGTATGGTGCTGGGTACACTACCTAGACGCCCTCTGTGGTTTACATTTCATCCCCTTTACATGACATGTGTTTAGGCTTATTAAATCTTGTCTTCGGCGTAGGAGCATATTCTTTTATGTTGTTGGGGGAAGGGAAGGGAAGGGAAGGAATATGTGTCTGTTCTCTATTAGTCATTTGAGCCGAGGTCGGTCATCTCAGCCCAAGTACTATAAACGCTCTCGTTGAAACCTGACTCCTCTTCTGTACTTCCACGATTATGCGTTTCTGTAACGTGCAGAAAGGGACGGCTTCATCTCCCTCATGGGAAACAGACTAGGAATTTGTCTCTTGTGCATGTGATTTTAAAAAAGTAAATGGATTTGAAATAGTGTTTGTTTCTGAGCCAGCTCTCCAACGTGCATTTCGGGCTACGTATGGAAGGTACCGATTTGAGCATGAGTGAGAGTCTTGTTAGTGGGCACCGAGAAAATGGTTTCTTTGTTGCTCGTGACTTAGAGGTTGTTCTGAGAATTTGACTTAATCGGGGTTATGGGATGGTATTTGAGCCTTAGCCAAGTTGAGGCATAACATCTCTGTCCTTCGTCTTCATTCACTCGCATCCCACACGCCCAGCTCCCCCAAGGATAAGTACACACACACACACATGCGTGCACACGTATGCGCGCCAGTCTTGGGCTCTGACGGCTCTGAAGCTTTTCTCCTGGGAGCCATTTTCCATTCTTTACTTGACCCCAAGGCTGGAACTGCTGCTGGCAATTTACTTGCAGAACTCAGACCTGGAATTGGAAGTAAAGGTATGCAAAATACATGTTTTAATAAAAAAATAAAAAAAAATACACAGAGCCAAATTAAGCCGCACAGTATTTTTCTCCCTATTGGCACACTCCCAAGAGTTAGAAATTGGTTTTCCCGAGCCAAGAATTTTCTTAAATGAAATGCACTGTGCTAGGAAGGCTTTTAAGGCCTCTTCACCTTAAAGTGCGAACCTCCGAACGGGGCTCTGGAAAGCGGAGTCCAGCTTTGGCACGCCACTTAAGCCATGATTAGTAGAGCGGATCAGCATGCTAGAAATAGCTGTATTTGTGAGCCTCCTGTTCTTCAGCGTTTGATTGCCAGCCAAGCCCCAAGTCAATCCCAAAGAACGAAAACTAAGATAATAAGGAGAAAATAAACTTTTCATGCCAGAGCTCAGGAGAGCGTCGCACTGTCCATATGCTGACTCTGGGCCCCATAACACAAGGAGTGGTGACCCTGGCCTGCTGCTCCTGCCCCCCAGACGGTGCTCTGTGTCACCGTACACAGATCCTCCCTACTCTTTAGGTCTCAGTTTCCTCATTAGTAAACTGGGGACCAATTTCTGCTAGCTTTCTCATGTGGAGTGCGATGCATTCCTTATACTCATCTTTCCAGTGCTTCCAACCAGCTGGGATATTTTTGGGGGAAAGGTGTTTGTTTTTAAAAACTTAACTCCTGAGTTATAGTGAGGTGGACTTGATTTTTTTCTTCCCGTTGAAATATGTCCCTATGCCTTGCTTGATAAGCCATTGTAAAATGTTCAGGGACATCTCTTTTAGTTTGAGGCCAGCGTCTGAGTGAGGTGGGAAATGGACACACTTTCCGCTTTTCCTCCCTCCGTAGCCTGGTGATGGGTGTTTGCTGTGGCTGTTTGTTAGGGGGGAAGCAGCCATCAGTCAGTACTCATTTTCCATTTTCTTCTTATTGACGGAAGTGCTGTAGGAAAACAGCTCGTCTCTCAAGCTCCTAGTGCCCCGCAGGACTGAAAGCTGCATACAATAAAAGTTGTTTTGACAGAAAACTGACCGCACATGACAATGGGCAGAGTGGGGTGAAGGAAGGGAGGGGGAGGCGGTGGACATGCTGGTCTGTTTTGAACCCGGACACACTCTTTTTTCTTTGTTAAATTACTTTTTCATATGAAGGATGCAAAGGGAACGGCCCCTACTGGCAGCCAGAAGGCAGAAAACAAACCCTTTGAAATTTCTAATTTGTTTATAGATGGTCCTCCAGGAGCCGGCTGGAAAATAATTTTGTCTGCCAGAGACAGTGAACAGCTACCCGAGGGTGTTGTGCTGAAAAAAATGACTCTCTAGTTTTGGTCCTTGAATGTCTTATTGTTCAGCACTCAGTGGTTGTTCTGAAATTACTCATCTGGCAGGGAAAGAAAATGAAAGAAAAATCCCTCCTCTACTCTCTGGCCTGAGTTTCTAGGAAAGTTCCCTAAAATTTTTTTTTTTTTTTTTAATTTGGCTTCTTTGTGTGTCAATTAATTTTGGAATTAGATGAAGGTTTGTTAATCTTGCCCGCTAATCTGTCTTCTCTCTGAGGGGGATTTTTATTGTGGATATTTCCCAGGCCAGTCCCTGTGCACAGCTGAGATGCTGCCTCCTCCCTGTGATGTGCTAACAAATTGAGCTACTTTTCTAGATAATACCATAGATTCCATAGACTCTCATTCTGAGGGGCTTTCTGAATGTGAGCAAGATAAGGGTTAGGAGATAGTCTGGGAATTTCTGTCCTATAATATAAAAGCATTTCTAGAAGTTTCCCCCTCAGTTTGGGTGTTTGTGAAATGGGGAATAGGACCATCTGTTCTGCATTTTATGGTAATACTGTGGAGATACATCCATACCTGGTATAGGTGAGCAGCAATGTTGTCACAGAAATGTAATCACTGGCTTGGGGTGATCATTCTAAATTGAATGCCTTATACAATTGTTTTATTTTCTAAATTAGGAAACTGACCCCCAGCAACTTGACAAAGGAAGCATAGCTGTTTGGGGCAGAGTTATGGTTCAAACTCAGGTCTCAACTGTTAGCCCACTGCCGCTTCCACTATCCCTTCCATTTTCATGGCCTTGGGGTGGTAGCAATTTTAGGTAATATGTTGATTTTACATAAATTCATAG